CCCCCCGGCTCCCCACCTTGCCCGGCAGCTGGCAGGTCTGTGGGCCCCGCAAGGCGCAAGTGCCGTGTGCAGACTCTTCTTCCCTGGGCGTTCTCACGACGCTAGAAACGGGGCGTTTGCTTCGTCCCCGGGCAAAGAACTCGGCGCTCCCGCGGCATCAGGCTGCAACGGCACGAAGCACGAACAGCCCGAAATCGTTCGGTCGCCCAAACGTCTCTGCCCGAAACGCGTCGGGATTGACGAGAGGGATTAACTGGAGCCAGGAACTAAACTGATTATCTGGGGAAATGTCAAATAAGCCTCAATGAAAGTGACTGGAGCTTAAGTTCTTACTTGCCTGAGTCTCTTGAAAGCGAGAGGGTCTCTTCGATTGCTCGGGCGGCTCTGGGCCTGACTCCAGAGCGGGGTGTGGGTCCCTGGGTCAGTGCGGACAGGCACCGCTAGCGCCGGCTTTGATAGCGCTTGTGACACGTCTGCAGCGTGTTTCTGTCCCACTGGGGGGCTGTCTGCATCCCGGGCGCTGTGGCGTGGGGCTAGCGCCCGACACACAGTCAGGCCACAGGGAAACGGAGGAGCCCTTCGGCCCTGCTGGGAGAAGTAGAAAAGCAAAAGCGGGGCAAAGTCAGCTTTAAAACCCTTCCGTCTGGTGCGGTTTCCAGCGACGGGTGCGGGTGTGAGACCGTCCGTGGGAGTTGGGTGCCTAACCCCCTTCGGCCCCATGGGGAGTCCCAGCCTTGGCGTGACACGGCCAGGCTGCCCGTCCCACCTGTTGCTCTTCCTCGCAGGACGGCTCGTGCAACGGGCTGCAGCACTACGCTGCTCTGGGGCGGGACGTCATCGGCGCCACCTCGGTCAACCTGATCGGGTGCGGGTGTGAGACCGTCCGTGGGAGTTGGGTGCCTAACCCCCTTCGGCCCCATGGGGAGTCCCAGCCTTGGCGTGACACGGCCAGGCTGCCCGTCCCACCTGTTGCTCTTCCTCGCAGGACGGCTCGTGCAACGGGCTGCAGCACTACGCTGCTCTGGGGCGGGACGTCATCGGCGCCACCTCGGTCAACCTGATGCGCAGCCAGGCAGCACGGTGCAGTGCCAGCCCCCGCGGGAGAGGGTCAGAGCTGTCTATGCAGCAGGCTCAACAGACAGCGCCTGGCGTCCCCGCCCCCTCGCGGGAAGCGCTGCAGCAGCCCCGAGAAAATCCTG